ATGAATTTTTTTTTATTCTAATCATCTAATATTATATAATCAAAATAAAAAAAAATTTAGTTATTAAATGTGGGGGGGTATGAAAATTGGCTCTTATTAGAAATATTTGAAATCCTAATACTTCTATCTCAACCCAAATTCAACAAAATTTTGAAAAAAATTTTTTACTATATTTATTATCCGGGTGAGCTTTTTTTAAATTTTTGTAAAAAAAATTTTATATGTTTTTACATAATAAAATTAAAAGCCGGGTTGCCGGGTCATTTCTAAAATTTTATGTTATGAGAACCAAAAAATTAATTTTAAATGGCTTCTTAGTTTTATTTAATTTTAGTATCCCATCTTCAGTTTAGGTCTCTCTACAGTACTATTAAAAAAGTTATGTTATCTCTCTACTTAGAACTAATTTATTCAAATTTGATATCTATATAAATATTTTTCAGTCCCTGTCACTGGAATGCTAGAAAAGTCTGGACGTCTAGTGATGACACTGACTAAGGACTAACGGTGACATGTGAACCTTATTAGTGACTGTACACGCATCAATTCGTGACTCTTAAATTTTAAATTATCAAAAAAAAATATCGTTTTCCGATATCGCGATATGAAATTATCATATCGAAAGAAATCAGTAATTAATCGTTTTTTTTTTGATAATTTTTAAGAGGGAAATACATAAACTCGGAAGAGTGCTCATCGAATTACTTATTCGGGTTTAATTCGAAATATAATTCAAATTTCATAATTAACTCGCGAGTTAAGTCACGAGTTGACGAGTCCAGGTATGATTATCCATATGATCGACACTAAACTGAAACGTAATACGTGATTTCTTTTATATATTGCAGTAATTCTAAATTATATTAATTTTATAATTTATTCTTTTTCCTTCTTTCTTGTTATATAATGCCAAAAACTAGATCGACAACGAAAAAAAAAAAGCAGAATGAAGCGAAGGAAGTGACGGACGTAGAATCGACAACAAAAAAAAAAAAGCAGAATGAAGCGAAGGAAGTGACGGACGTAGAAGACCTAGAGGAAGTAAATAAAAATCGATTATATATATGTATTATGAAATATATGTCAGGAATGTAATTTTGCTGAACAGGAAAATAATTCTACAGATGCGAAAGTTGTTGCAAGATATTAAAGCTAAACAACAAAATTTTGAAGCTTTACGAAATAGTGACCTAGACAAGAATGAACAAAATATAAGGGAATTTAAAAGCAATTATGAAAAGCGGTCTCAAGGTTCCTTATATATAATTCACCATTTCTACAATATTTTTGTGATTTTAATGCTGACGCCTACCTATATTGATTTTATCTTTTTAAGGGCTAGAAACCATGGTACTTCAATTAAAAAGTCAAATAGAGAATTTGGAACATGAGAGGGAGGCCATTTTGAATCAAAGTCAAGATTCTATGGAAGTTGTTGCAACAAGTAGCAACAGTTTATCAAGTAACGCTGAAGTAGCCAAATTAAAAGAACTCGGTAACTATTTATTTTAAGTTAAAGTTAATTTATAAACCTTTTATCTTAATGCCTATTTTTTAATAATCTAGTGAAAAAGCTTGAATGTGATTTTCAAAAGGAGACAGAAAAGAACAAGCGTTCTGAATCAGAAATAAAGCATTTACGCGAACAAGGTCAGATGAATGAACATTATATGATATTTTTCCATCCCCTTAAGACATATATAATTTAATTATTTTTTTTGTTTTAAAGTAAAGAGACTTGAGCTTGAGCTGAAGCAAGAATGTGAAAATAGCAAGAAACTTACGGCTAAACTTCCCAAAACATCTGTTTCTAGAAAATTAACACCGGCTGAGCTCGATCAAAAGTCAAGAGAAATGCAAGAACAAATATCATTATATGCAGAAATGTCGAATCTTTTAATCCAGAATGTAAAAGTGATATCTCATGATGAAAAGAACTTTAAGTGCCTTCATAGCGGAAGGAATGGAAGTATGTGAATAATTTATATTGTATTTAGTGTTGTTGGGCTAAAACGAATATTTCGCCTTGTAAATTATTTCATATAAACGAAATATTTCGAAATTTAAAAAGTAATTTTGCCCTGCAATAAATTTAGAATAAAATTCTAATATAATTAGTATTGTTTGACTAAAATATCGACACTTATTTCTTTTAGCATTGGAATTCAAGCTCTCATTTAAAGGAGAAACAGCACATTATGAACCATCTCTTCAGCCAGATAGAGATGCTGACCTTATGGCTATTTTGCCTGATTACCTTAAAGAACCAATAGACTTCCAAAAGGAATCATTGGATCTATTTTTCTGGAGAATCTTGGATTTTTTACAAAAGAAATGATTAATCATTTTATATTGTGAATCCTTCAACCAAATTAAAATAAATCTTAATGAAATAAATAAATTTTTTATGATTATTATCTATTATATATAATAATCTTTGAGCGTATAACTATTTGACAATGGAAGTTTGATTTGGAATATTTCATATTTCCTCTACTGAAAAGGCGTTATGATTAAATATTATGATTTTAATTAAGTTTGAGAATTGAGATTTTTACTTAATTTGAAACCATAACCAAACCCACATTAGAACTAATTAAATTTGCAATTTTTTAAAAATTGAAGTTAGAAATCAAATAATTCAACATTAAATACAGTTTATGTCAGATATGCATGAACATCGAGATTCGATTATAAAAATTCAGATGATGCAGAAATCTGATAATCTTATTACCATTGTCAGAACCGCCTCTAATAAAGTTGGTGTAACATGACGTTTCAATATAAAATACAGATAAAATTCCAAATTAGTTATAGCAATAGTAATGCTCACTTTTTGGTTATAAGAAATTACCAAATCAAAATCTATTCCAATGAACCATGATCCGTCTAATACAACTTCAGAAAAGCGACATCATATTCGTCGAAGGTCATATTACCCTTCAACAATACGCATTATATTAGGTCATTTTGCATCCCTTAGTATCTTTCTAATTCGACAACTTTTTCGGTCTAATAATCTACCTTTTCTTTTGACATTTCTTTGGCACACATATTATGCACGAAGGTTGTTGCGTCTACCGAGAACCTACTTAGAAAGGTATTTTGCTCAGGGAAGACGAGATCCACCACCAGTAGTTGCTATTGACGTGCTTAAAAGACTGGGGGGAATCAATTTTTCTTTGGGACTATTGTCATTGTTGGCTCTTATAAGATTTCGAGATATGACAACACAAAAAGTGACATTGTTAGTATTATCCGTGGCTAATGGAACACAGGCTTGGAATGATGTGATTAATTGGAGAAGTGGACGATGGAATTGGAATAATTTAACTGAAATTGGTGGAAGTGACGGGATAATTGCTTTAATGAATATTATAGCTTACGGTATTTCTGTTATAAGGAGCGGATCTTTATTATAATTAATAAAGAAACAAACAAATGTGTAAGTTTCACAATTAGTCACTTCGAGAAATTACATAAACCAACTATGAAACAGAGCAAACTAAACGCATGGTTTTCAATATTTGCTGTAAAATATACTATGTCGAAATTCATACTTAACATACTTAGAGATTATTCTTCAATCAATCCATTTTATTCAATATTTTTTAAATGTTATATTTTACATACAGGAAGTTTTCATTTACTAATTATGGCTATTACCACAAAAAAAAAGTATTATATGAAACTAGCTGAAAGAAATTTTATCAATTTGCATTTAAATAAAGTGAATTGCGAATTTAATCTACACAATTTATTAATCACAAGTTTCGAATTTCATTCAAAGAGGCTCTTAATTTTTTCACCCAAAGGATCTTTAGGAAATTGCCTTTGATATTCCAGGCTTTTAGAACGCTCTTTTGCCCTTTTTTCTCTCAATCTCTTAAATTTATCACCACCTTCTCCATCATTACCTGGCAAAAAGGAAAAGACAGAACTTTCGGATGAGAATCCAAAAACTTTTGATCGTTGATGTGTATATCCTGTTTGAACTATATTATTAGATTCATTTTTCTTATCGGATGATGATTTGTTGGTGGTATTTTCTTGAGCTTGTTTTTGCTTATTTTTACTTTTGATTTGAGTGAAGTTATTCCATGTACAGTTCAAGTTTGATACTGTATATCCAAATTATATAATTTTTTCATATTTAAATCATACGTATAAATGCATCACTATTAATAATACGGACAATACAGACGTGGGTAATTATTTGAATACAGACCATGTTATTACGTCATATATAAAATTGGTCTGGGTTCAAAAATAATTACCCATATATATCGATATATATTATATAGTTGCTGTTAATATCAGCGTTATCTACAGATCATTAAATTTTTTAAAGACCTTGCTTATACAGTACTAAGCCATCGCTTTAACAATGATAACGATAGAGATAGATAAATTAAAAATCAGATGACCAATATAAAATACTACAAGACTTTAGCACATGTTAAAATCAACCAAATATTTATTAGCTTAACGTTAAAAAGTATTATGTTTAGCCCACTGCTTATTTATTACGTATCTTGAAATTTCTATAACCCAGTTTTTTCCCAATACTGTACCCATAGGCAGAAACTAAACCAATTAGTGATGGATTTTTTTTTACGTATACCGATACGTAGCGATTTTTGTAAAAGGTTTAATTATTATCTCTTAAACCGTAAGCTGATCCAGGCAAATTTGCCTGCAAAAATTTATCCAGTAATCACGCACATCAAGTTATGGATGTGTCATTTGGATATGTATAACTGATACTCTAGATTTTATAGATTTTATTTTTCTAGATTTTATAGATTTTATTATAATAACATAAAACTATATACGATATACAGAACTAACACCTATATATATTTCTTTTATTCAATAATTCCCTCCTCAAATCAACTTTTTAGGCCTAAAGAAGCTCTAACCATATCCTCAAGAAGATTAGTTCTGGTAGAATTTAAAGTATTCTTGGCAATAGAAAAAGCACACTCACAAAGAATACTTGTAACCTGTAAGGCAAAGTAGTCTGCTACAATGCAAGCTATAGTTGGAAAATGATGAGTATTAGTTTTCCACCACAGTAGTGGATTTATATCTGATTCACAGAATAAAGCTAAGTATGTCACTAACTTATCCTCTATGTTCGTTGCAGTTTCTCTATGTATATCTCCTTGTACTTGTATTAGTTTTCTAAAGGTTTTTAATGGATCTTTAATTTGATAATTGATTTTGATTTATTATTTTTATATAATGAATAAAAAACTTTTAATTAATTAATAGCTAAGGCCATGCAAAATTAATTAAATGGTTTTCATAACCCGGCCGGGTCAAAATTTGAAAATTTCAAAAAAAAAATT